AGGGTATGGCCAGCTTGCGTTCTCGCCTCACGCTGCGCTGCAGGTCTCCCACAATGTAGCGCTGTTCCGCTCGGCCAATGCAGCGCGCCTCGCTGGCGCGATTGGCGCCCAGCAGTAGCCACAGCAGGCACCACATCAGACCCAACGCAGCCGACACATAGCTGATGCCCGGCCAGCCCAGGCTGGAGCTGGCCAACATGCCGGCTGCATACATGGCCAGCACGTTGCCGCAATCGAAGCCCGTATATGCGAAGGCGCCCAAGCGCGTGCGCTCCACCGCTGGCGCCCAGTTGGCCAGATGCTGATGAATGCAGGGCAATGTAAGGCCCTGGCAGAGGCCCTGCATCAGGCGTATGGCACAGTAGGCACGCCACCCGGCCATATAAATGCCCTGGGGCGTCCATGCGCTGAGTAGCGCCGATCCGAAGCTGCCCCAAAAGAGCACGGTCTTGGCGCCAAAGCGCTTGCAGAGCCAACCACCGGCAAATTGCGTCAACGCCGAGCCCCAGTAGAAGCTGGACAGCACATACGATTTCTGCGGCTCCGTCCAGTTGTAGTGCTGCAAGAACAGATGTCAATAGTTATTTAGTGTGGGCGCGTGGGCGTGGCCTTGCGGCCCTCGACTCACTTACCGGCAGCTCAGCATTTACAGACGTGGCATTTGTCATTGCCACAACAGCCACGCCCACATTGAACTGCAGTGTGGTATTGACGACCAGGCCCAGGAATAGCAGCAACGCCTGCAAATGACGCAGACCAAGGCGTGGCACTAAAATGCAAATTAGACACTGAGTTACACACTCTCAATTTCCATTTCTCTTTTTTTGCAATCGACCCACCTTTCTCCAGCTCCACATCCGAGTCAACCATTCTTCTTGAAGCGTCTCCTCCTTGTACTCTTTTGGCTCCGCGTTTGTCTTGCTGAAAAAATTATTTATAAACTAGGCGAAAATGAAGTTAGAAATACGCCAAATCCTGATGCAATATTTAGTTGTGATTTCTTGTTGTTGTTGTTGTGTATTATATATTTCAGAAGCTAACTAGCATTAGGAAACGTTTTTTAGTTGGTCTAGAAAAAAAAAGAAAACCTGCAAAAAGTTTAAGTTTGTTTAAAAGCTTGAAAATGTTGTGTCATAAATAATTCAATATGAAGATAGACACGTGCGCGATGCAATACCTAAATTTATTAGTAAAACAAGCTGACAATTGCCGCTAAATTAGTAAAAAAAAAATATCGTAACAAAATAAACTTAATTTAAAAACTCATTAATTTAAATGACTTGTAATATTATTTAATGGCATAAAAATGCCGAACAAATTTTAAATACCTTAAATAAATTAATGCCCAGACGAGATGTCAACCCCAGATCAAATATGTCCTACCCATAAAAATCTGTTCAGTTTTAACAAAGCTCAAGGAATAAAAAAAAAAATTCACAATCACGATTAAAGAAAGGATATATTGAATAACAATATAAAAAGAGGATATAAAATACCTTTTTCTGTAAGCTTTGAAAAGATTTTTGAAGATTTTAAAATATTGAAACAGAAAAAAAACTAACCAAGACAGAAATTGAAAATCAAAATAATAATTTTAAAAGATAAGTTCAAGTTCACAAACTAATCTCGAACCCCAATGAAATCGGATCAGTTTTGATAAATAACTATTATACTATGTACATGTGTATGTGCTCGTATATAAGGTATTGGTTCGTATTATATGTACGATACAGGCACATTAGTGAACGAGAAAAATAAACAAACCGAACATATTGCTAACGTTGCAAATTGTAGTTGCAGCACTTGTTTGCTGGAAGTCGAAGGGAGCTTGAAAATGGAAACTTCGACTTACATACATAGATATGGACTTAGATCTGCCATAAAGTTTATTTGTTTGTTTATTTTCAGCATGGTTTCGACGATTATTTTGTTTTGTTGGGTTTTTCGGATGTGTGCAAATTTGTTCGATAATATCAACGAAAAGAAATGCAAATCCCAGAATATACAGTTCTATCTGCGCTGCTAACAAGATACTTTTAGTGCCATTGACAGCCATACACGCACGCAGTCACACGCACGCACATTCCCACACACACACACGCACACACTCAGACACGAATACTGTCACACTTGCACAAACATTTGCAATCCAAAATATACGCCTGCTTCTTTCTCCGTCTCCATCCATCTCTTTCGGCTTGTTGTTGTTGATTTCGCATGCTTTTTCAATTGTTCTGAAAGCTGTCAATACAACGGGCTACAATAGGACAGCGTGCGCTATGCTGATTGCGGGGGGTGGGTGGGTTATGGGCTGATCTGGCGCTTACAACCTACTAATGCCGCATGAAGCAACAGAAAAACACAATCGAATGCAATGGCTGCAGCATATTTTTGGGGCCCATGCAAATATTTGCACATTCGCATTTTTGTTTACATTTTAGTGCAAATTTCGCAAATTACTCGCATAGAAGTCTGGCAACCACCTCCACACACCCACACACACACACACACACATATGCATATACCTATATATATATATGTATATGCGTACACTCCCCACCTGTACATCGTATCATGTAAAATGTGTGTTCACATTTTTTATTGTGTTGCACATTTAATTTAAGTAAATGTCCGACATGTGCCGCACATTAGGGCAGTGGCGTCGCTAAGTGGGTTAGAATGTGAATGTTAGGCATAAGTAAGATAATTGATTAAAAAAGCGTGTTATTGATTAGAGCCTGACAATATTTGGTATTAATTTCTGTATGCGGAATTTATTATGTACTTTATTATAGTATAAACTAATAATGCAATCGTTATCGATTTATCGTTCTTAAGACCGTTTAACATGAAATGTAACATCACTTTCTGCTTACGTCCCCTTTTGTGCAACGCCCCTGGCCATTTGGGTCTTTAATAATGTCTAGCATTCTGCTCGGTATTATTAAAAACAAATAGGCAAACACATCTGACATACTCACACCCACACACACGCACACACACAAAAACGCTGCATGTAAATAACACAACAACAGTCCAATACATTTATGCATTTTGTGTTATTTTAATTTAAAATATCTGCCGATTTATTGTGAGAATTCTATCAGGCTTTTAGGTCACAGCCGGTACAATCGAGAAACTATATTTACATGCATTTGCATGTATGTATGTATGTTTGTATGACATTTGTATAAGCCGTATACATATTAAAATATGTAACTACAATGTTTTGCTTGATGAATAATGAACGAAGCAAAGCTTAACTGAAAAGTGTAACAGAATATATGGGGTGAATGGCAATAGTTACCCAATTTCCAATTGAACCTTGGACTTACGTGTACACGTTTATTTCTAGTTCGCTTTGCACAATATTCTATTTATATCAAATTTTCGTAATATTTATCATTTTGTTATTTTTTCCCGTATTTTTTTCTTCCGTTTAATCGCTCAGCGCGTCCGCTTTGCTAGCGTTTTGTTCAACTGCGCTTTGTTTATGCAAATAACTTTTAGACGCTCGCTGCCAACCAATTTAAATCTCGCTTAATGAAGTCTTTCCCCGCGTCTGCTGTGTACAAATGTGAATCACGAATGGAATGGAAATGTGTGGAAAACTAAAAAAGAGCAGATCAGGTAGCTTGGCTTAAATGTGTTTGGGGAACGAATAAAACTGTCTTCTTCTTTAATTAATTTGGAACAGCTGTAATTGATGTTGATTGGAATTGATCAATCATTTTGTATAACTATTGAACAATTGAATTTCTACATTTAATTCCTTGTAGACATAATTCGAAAGTCGAACGCTAATTGAAGCTCCCTGACAGAAGCTGGCTACTGCAACAGCGCTGATGATCAGCTGATCCTTACAGTTTTCTGTTAACTAATCAGACTTAACAGCCCTAAATAGAATCAACAGGTTACATTTATGAAATCGATAGTTCGATAAAATACATTAAACATGTGCGAGCGAATTCGAACTATATTGCTGATATTTTATTATCTAATCGCTAATTTCATCACATACCTATTAAGCTAACCTTGTGGTGTGCTTTTTTGTCCGGTGTTGTGTGCTTAGTTACAATATCAACTGTAATGTTAACATATAACGATGTCTATCGATTGCTGAACAAATCAGTCTTCATAACAGAGTCTCATTTTGCGGTAAAGTTTAAACTCGAATTTCTATTGTCTTTTTTTTCATAATGAGTCATCGGCAGAGTGACTGTCTGTTATATAACATTCGCGAACGCTTTAACAATTTAATTCGTGTTTATCTCTACTCATAATGGTTGTTTTTCTTATTAAACGATGTTAATAACATTTCAGCAAACATTCCTGTTATTGCCTGCTGTTATGTTATGCATTCGCTGTACAACTACTGTTATACTCTCTTTAGCGTGCGATCGCAAATTCTCTCATTTACTGTTAATGTTGTTGTACGTACACATGTGTGCGGACGGCGAAAAAAAATTCAAAATTTACGAGTTGTTTCAACTTTTAGACTTAGTTTGTGCGAAGGCAACTTGCATTGGTGCGATAAATGCAATCAAGTTCGTATTAGGCAAGCAAAACCCCACTGCGTACAACATAAAATAAAAATATTCTTATTGTGGCGACAAAACGATCGCAAAAGAAGACGCGCAAGCAAATAAACAAATTTGCGGCCGTCATCTCGTCGTGTGTGTAAGTGTATGTATGTGTCCGTTGCGGGTGATTCAATTGTTTAAGCAAACAGCAACAGCCACTGGGCAATTTATATTATTTTAACCATTTAATTACATTAACTACAACAGCAGCAACTACAATATCCACCACAACAACTAAAACAACACAGTGAGCAAGCGACCAGAAATTGTTTCCAAAAAATAAGCCGCCAAATGACGCGACGACATAAAATAACCATTCGGCAGCCGTAAAATACGTTAATAAATATTTGAAAAAAATAAAATCAGTTAAATTTGCCTTTTATGTCAATTTCGGTCACAGTTTTGTTTGATATTCGATACAAAATTTCGTGCATTTGTTCTCGTTTCGTCTTTTTCGTTTTGTTTTATTTTTTAAGCTTTTTGGTATCCTTTTATCAATCTTTCACGCGTGTTGTGCGTTGTCCTCGTCTGGTCACACTCGTCTCTCCGCACATCGCTGTTAACGAAAAGAAAAGTGAACACGCGCGTAATTCTTACACCCCCACCCTATCGCAACGCCGCCTTCCTGTGTTTGTGACATTTTTGGCATAATTATTGCATTCCACGTGTGTTTCGTGTTTTTGTTCGTCCGGTCTCGTCCCGTATTTTGTAAGTGTTTGCCGCCGAGTATAATATGTTTGTTAATGTTTTCATTTGTGCAATTTGCTTGCAATTCCCTTCCCTCTCGATCTTCTAGTGATCCGTTGTAAAATTTTCTTCGTTTCGTCTCTATGAACGTGTTATAAAATAATTGTGCAAAAACAGCAAAAACCACAAAAAAAATCAAACAAGGCTCAAATTTTACATCAATACCAACAACAACAATATTTACCCCGCTGTTTTGTAAGTTTCTTGCATGCATTTTTTAAGCTTTGTTTTTACTTTTATTTATCCTGATTTTATTAACAACATTTTTCTTATCACTGCTGTCTTACTTAATTTCTTATTACCTTTTTTCCGTCTTGTACATATAAATGTCTACCTAAACATAACTTCATCTGTGTACATACACATACACGCACACACACATACGTAATACTTGATTATTTACCTGTTGCCTCTTGTCTGTGTCCATGTCCGTCAGTCTATCTCGCTTGCACATGCTCGCATATTTGTACATTCATTGTCAACGGTTATTTCATGATTGCGCTTTGTTGTCTTCATTTTACCGCTTGCCCTGTTAGTTTGTTTTGTTGTTGCAGCTCGCAGTTGCCTTTGCGTACATGCATACATGCATGTACATTCCACCACCATTTCATTTTGGCTTACCTCACTTCACCTCGGCTCAGCTCAGCTCAGCTCATCTATAATCGTATTTTGACTGCGTTGTGCCCTTATTGGCAACGCTGCCTTAGGCTGCCGCTCTGTATATGATTTTTGGCGCTCTGGCAGCGCTCGCGCTGTCGTTTTCATTTGCTCAATTTCATGGCCAGCGCTTCCTTTTTGCATAATTCCGCTGACTCATTGCTACGCTGAGCAACATGTTTATAATTTAACTTTTTTCTATCTTTTTTTTTGTGGGCAGTAATTCGTTTTTGTTGCTCTGTCTCATTGTGGTTTTGACCACACTCACACGCACACACGTTAATTTTAGAGTCTGAGTTTGACTGGCCGCTGGCTGCGTTGTGTTTGGGGTTTTCACTGTTTTGACAGTCAGTTTAACATTCTCGCCTATGAATGCCCAGTTATTGGGGAAGGGTAATTTTTAGGTTCAGTAACGTGGGGCATGGTGTTTTAGAGAGTCAAATCTGATATCGAAAAACTTTAAAACTAATTAGAAATATAATATAGAATATATTATATATAGATAATATAAAAAAGTATCCATTGAAAAAACTTGAAGTGTTGCATTTAAATAAATAAGTATTTTGCGTACTTAATTATGTGCATTGATATTTTTTACAGCTGTTTTTCTTGATTTTTTTTTTATTGTTTAATGGCTACACTACCAACTACGAGTGCCGTTATTTTAACCGCCCATTTAACCCACCTATGGAGCGGCCCACAAAGCAGCTGCGTTGCCCAGCTAAAACAGCAACAACAACAACAACTACAACAACAAACTAACTACTCAGCGTCGCGTAATTTGCAAACAAAAAGTCATTAAAATATCAAATTAGCGTCTGGCGTTGAGATTTAGTCAAGTTTCCCAATGATGATGTTGACGCCAGTTGTGCCTCGATGACTGTGAACTGAACGACTGACTGCAAAATAACTGAGAATGTCTGGAAAAGAGTTCTCGTGTGTGTGTGTGTGTGTGTGTGCGCGTGCTTGTGAGTGTATAAAAATCGAAAGTAGATGCCATGTGGCACCCGCATAAGCTCAACAATTTACTGATTACAAGCTATGTGGCCTGCCCCTGCTAATAACATTTGTATAAAACTCAACAACTTATAGAGTTGCGTGACGTACACGAGGTGTTCCCGCCTAAAATTAAAAAAAATCCTTAAATTATGATTAAGATATCTAGTGAACGCCATGATAAATACGAAAAACTCGCTAAAGTTTACGTGTCGAACAAATACACATGTCAGTGCTCATCTCTAGTCTATACTATATATCAGTTGGAAATACTACTACTAATGAACGGTTGTTTACCCTTGCCAGCGGTATTATATGTAACTGTGCCACAGAATGTGTAACACTTTGATTCTTGATCAGTATTAACGACCAGTTTTGTCGCATTTGTCTTGATAAAATCTTGTAACTTTTCTTTGCTGCATGCCAGCCGGATACCGGATCGGTTAGATATTGTATTGTATTTAAAATAAATTATTGCATTTTGAGATATTTTGTCCTAACTCGGGAATGTATAAGAAAACTCGTATTAAATTCGTACAACTATACCATATAGTTTCTTACGAAGATTTGGCCGCATATACAGAATTGTATACGATTGAGCGACTGAGTATTATATTTGGAAGGGTATTTAACCTTCGGAAGGCTTCTTTTTATTTATTTTTTTATCATTTCATAACGCTTATCGGCAACAAAAAGTTGCCGATAACACAATTTACATGCATGAACATTCACTCTATTTTCATTGTCTAGGTGTGTGGAGTGAAGAGGCGTCGGGGGTTGCGGTGTTTTTGCAGTTAATTGAAATACGCGATAAAATAAAATTCAGAGGGAGAAAGACAGAGAGAGAGAGAGAGAGACTAGAAGAGAGAAAAACACGTTTTACCTGAACTCACACCGAGATGAGTCACATTTTGAGTTGAAGGAACTCATTCAACACGGGCTGCAATTAGTATTTAAAGCAGCTAGTGAACAGCATTAACAAACAAACATAAAACAATAATAACAACAAAAACAACTAAGAGTGCAATCCAAACGTTTAAAGTAAATTTATGTTTTCTACGAAAATTGCTAACTCCGTTTAACTTGCAACTGACTTATCGACTCGACGATCTTGTTCAAAATGTGGCCACACATCTCTTTGCTCCATATTTGGTCACACTCACAAGCGCAGATACAATAAGAGTGCTCTAACCAAAAGTGCCCGACTCGGAGATACCCTTCGAGCTGCCTTAACTTCTGCATGTACAGACAAATGTGTGTGTGTGTATACCAAAGCCAAAGTTATGTCTTGTTGATATTGGAAAGGGGAAGGGGAAAGGTATTTACATACCACTTCTTGTGTTTTTAACGGTTACACCAAATCCGAAAGTCGATATTAAAGAGGGGATTTATCGATCAATTTAAATAAGCTAGTTTTGTTTATACTTATATATATACTTAAGCTTTAATAGTCTATGAGATCCTCAGTCAATGAAATATGCATGCATGCATATTTTATGAGCTCAGCGATGCCGTTTGTTACATACATTTGCATAAGACCCTTTTTTGAATGCATTATCAATGGGTACAGGGTATTCAAATTGTATCTGTATCTGCGCAAAAGTTCTGTGTGAAATACGCTTGCGCGGCGACAATCGCTCGACTTACCCTTCACAAGTTATATACGAACGAACGCGTTTAATAAATTATCAAGTTGAATGCCCAGTTTCGAAATTTGACCTTGGACACAAATTTCGGGTCTCGGGGCTCTACTCTCTGTGCATGTATATCACGTGTGTGTGTGTGTGTGTGTGTGTGTGCGTTCGTGTGTATCTTTTGATTGTGTGTTTTCGACAATTTCTTAGCTTGTAGTTTCTTTGAGCTTTGATGCGTTACGACTGTCGCCCGGCCACAGTCTGCTGCTCATGACTGGGAAGTGAAACTCTACAGCAAGTGCGTAAGTCTTGGGCTTCGGTTAATTAGCGCTACCATACAAATTAACTAACGCATATGCGTAACTTACAAATACATATGCAGATACACAGACAGATACCTAAATTCAAGCAACAAACGGCGCTGTGATTTTCGTTTTTATATGATTAATGGCTGCTCGTTGTTTTTTTATTTAATTTTTTCTACTCTCAATTTTGTTGTTAGGCGCTTTGAACTTGGCTCTAATGTCTGAAATAAATTGCTCTTGCTCTTGGTAGGCAAGCAATTGCAAACCGGTTTGACCATCAAAATGGATGAACGTTGAGGAAAGGGTAAGAGCGAGGGAAGCTTGATTATACAATGCCTAGAAATGTGCGTACAGAATATTTTGACTACAAGAACATAAACTTGTGCTGTTACCAAGTTGTTAAACTTAAAAACCGTTCTCTCTATGTCGGAACCAATTCTCTGTAATCAATTTATTTGTATTTAATAGGAACTGAAAAAAAAGTTGCTGTGAACCAATTGAAAATGCGTTAGGAGGGTATAATGGTTTTGTGCAAATGTGTGCAACAGGCAGAAGGAAGCGTCTCCGAACCCATATAGTATGTATGTATATTTCTTGTCAGTATCAAAAGCCGTGTTGATCTAACCGTGCCCGTCTGTCTGTCCGTCCGTAACTCCCTCAACCCGTCCGTCTGTCCGTATATACATATAATCGCGTCCATCTCAAAGCCTTTAAGAGCTGGAGACAAATTTTAAACGTAGGTCCTCCTACTGCCCGCGCAGTACGAGTTTGTTGCCGATAATTAATAACATGCCCCGTTTCCAAGCAGTCGATAGAAATCGATATCGCAATCCTGTTTTTTGATCAAATTTCTTAGGTTTTAAGAGCTAAAGTCACCAAATTTTACATATGGTTTTTAAAATAGTATATATAGATAGATCAAGTATTTTTCATTTTGAAGCAACGACTATTATTATTGGGGAAATATGTATATGATTTTATATAAATTAAAAAAGCAAATTGTTGGTAGCCTTAAAGTAAACGTTTGTTAGCTACGTGCTGTTAGTTTCATATAGTTTTGACAATTTACTTTCAAAAAATTCTTTAGCCCAGTTTAAGCTATACGATGTCGAGGGCGGATCACTCCCTGAGCAAATGACTAAAGCTATATTGCGCTCTTGCTTAGGCCTAGACCTAACTTACACCAAACTTTAAATTTAACATAATTATATCATATATGAATGCACATCCATATTTTGCACTCAAAGTGTGTTCACAATTTCACGCCATGATCGATCAGCACACTACATAATCATTTTTCAATGATTTAAAATTTAAGCAGCTCAAAAAAAATAATTCATTGATTTTCATTTCTATATCTATTTTTGTTGGCTTCACGCAACGCACGCAAAACATAAAAGCTAATCAGCTCACGCTGTTGGATTTTCAAAAAGAGCAAATAATAATAAACACACATGCACAGCATCTGTCTGCACAAATATTTATTGATATTTGACATGATCGATCACCCAAAAGGGGTTTGGGAGGGGGGGGGAGGGGGTTTGGCTAAAGCAAGGGTGGGGAAAGTGTTAAATACTTGACGAGCTTGATGAGCCAATTTGTT